AGTCTCGGGTTGATACGGGGTGTGATACAGATGTTGCCATGTATTATTCTCTATATATACTCCTCTTGAAATAAATGGACATCTAAATATTTTTCAGTTTAAATACTACATGTTATTAAATGTACCGTTATATAGTATTGCAAGCTACCTAAATATATGATACATATTTCAATTCGATATAGACATTGTACATAAATATGTGTATAAATCTCAATACAGTCCATCTACAAAAAAACCATAGATAATCAAAGATTACGAAGCTCACCTCGACGAATGTTATCAGTTTAAGTAATACAAATCTCACTTCATATTTTTTTAATAGTTAGTATTTATCCTGACAACAATATTTGTGCAAGTTCTGTTTCAATAGATCTTAAAGTTCATTGGGGATTGACCTGTTCCAAATCTTTAACCTGGACACTCATTTGGAAAATGAACATCTGAAGCAAGTCTCAATTGTACATCCTCAGATGCATCATCTATGCAAGTTTGGCCCAGGTAGGGCTTATAGTTTCTTGGGAGTCACTCATCTGGAAAATATAGGTCAGATCCAGCATCTGAAGCAAGTCTGGTAGTGTCCATCCCTAGATGCATCATCCATGCAAGTTTGGTGTGAGTAGGGCTTATATTACTTGGGAATGGACTTGCTCCAAAAACTTTAACCTGGTCACTCATCTGGAAAATGTAGGTCAGATCCAGCATCTGAAGCTAGTCTGGTAGTGTCCATCCCTAGATGCATCATCCATGCAAGTTTGGTCCAGGTAGGGCTTATAGTTACTTGGGAATGGACTTGCTCATAAAAATTTAACCTGGTCAGTCATCTGGAAAATGTAGGTCAGATCCAGCATCTGAAGCAAGTCTGGTAGTGTCCATCCCTAGATGCATCATCCGTGCAAGCTTGGTCCAGGTAGGGCTTATAGTTACTTGGGAATGGACTTGCTCCTAAAACTTTAACCTGGTCAGTCATCTGGAAAATGTAGGTCAGATCCAGCATCTGAAGCAAGTCTGGTAGTGTCCATCCCTAGATGCATCATCCGTGAAAGCTTGGTCCAGGTAGGGCTTATAGTTACTTGGGAATGGACTTGCTCCTAAAACTTTAACCTGGTCAGTCATCTGGAAAATGTAGGTCAGATCCAGCATCTGAAGCAAGTCTGGCAGTGTCCATCCCTAGATGCATCATCCATGCAAGTTTGGTCCAGGTAGGGCTTATAGTTACTTGGGAATGGACCTGCTCCTAAAACTTTAACCTGGTCACTCATCTGGAAAATGTAGGTCAGATCCAGCATCTGAAGCAAGTCTGGTAGTGTCCATCCCTAGATGCATCATCCATGCAAGTTTGGTCCAGGTAGGGCTTATGGTTACTTGGGAATGGACTTGCCCCTAAAACTTTAACCTGGTCAGTCATCTGGAAAATGTAGGTCAGATCCAGCATCTGAAGCAAGTCTGGTAGTGTCCATCCCTAGATGCATCATCCATGCAAGCTTGGTCCAGGTAGGGCTTATAGTTACTTGGGAATGGACTTGCTTCGAAAACTTTAACCTGGGACGCCGACGCAGGGGGTATAGCATAAGCTCAGCTCGACTTCGTCGAGGTGAGCTAAAAAATCACAAAATTTGATTAAATCCACTATAGACATTTCTGTGCAATATGAGTACAAGATATAGAATGACCTACCAAAGTAAGGAGAACAGAAGCTTTTTTCTCTTTCAGTATCTTGGCTATCTGTAAAGAAAAACAATAAATTTAATGTTTGCGTAATGTTCCAATTACTTGTAAAGTATTTCACTTTTTTACTTATTAATGTGAGTTTACATTAGTAGAAAAGTCTTACATCCTCTGCCCAGTGGGCCTCATCCACACCATAGCGAACCTGGAAGTCCTTCAGATCTAGAAGTCTGTAGTATTAAACAATAATTAATTAAAATGAAGTATAATTCTATTCTTTTCTAATTAATCAATCAGCATGTACTTTTTATATGACCTTGTTTGTATAAACATTAATTGTTCCAGGCACAAGACACAAGAATCATATACTATACAGTATTAAGCACGTTAAGAAATATGACTTTCTATAAGGAAAAAAAAAACTGTTTTCTAAAAAAAATTTTGTTTATAAGTGTTAAAACTCAACTGATGGTCAATTTGATTTCTTAAGCTTTTTATTCTCTAAACATAATCTCCAATCAATTTTGACATGTGTACAAATAACATGGGATAATCCAAAGATACATTTGGTACTTCAAATCAACTGAAAAGAAAATCATTAAGAAAAAGGTAACTTGACCTACTTTCCCATCCAGACTGCATATGCATCAGGAAGCTTAGGTGGAAAGAGAATTCCTCGCCCGCTGTCCACCTCAATAGCACCATAAAAATCTGGCTCCTCCACACCAAAGGCCCAATGGAAGTAAGACTCCTGTTAAAAGTAGACCCAAGAAATTGCGTGAAGCATTCAGTGCTACTATATATTATAGACTATCATTCAACTGGTATTCAACACTGCTTCAAACAGAAAGGAACTTGCCTGTCTAAAAATAGGTTCATGGTCTGAGCAGTGTCGTGTTTCAGATTCTCCACCTTGGAGGAGTACATATGCCCCCGCAGGTACCTTCTTTGTTGCTTTCAGTTTCTCTACCAACCGTTTCCTGTTCTCTTTGAACATCTCAGCTGGTACTTTAAAAGTGTGTTCTCCACGACAGAATGCTGGTCTGATATTTAAAAAGACAAGAGTTGAAAACTTTGGTAATTAAACATTGTCAAAAAAAATTACCGTTTATTAAGAGGGACACCTGTTTCTGAACTAATTCTGACTTATATTCCAGGGTAGGAAAACAGGAGTTGAAATGCAAAGGGAGAGCAACAATGTACTGTAGATCACTATATTTTTGCGACACCTTATTTTCACGACTTAGCTATTTGATATTTATTAACGAGACAAAATTTTCGCGAGCTGTGGTTTCTGTTGTATATAATAGTGTTGAATAATCGAGAAAATTTCATAATCGATGATCAGTCAAAATCGGAGAAGCTTAATCGATCAATCATCGACTTAATTGGTAATTCAAATTTCAAATACAAAATTCTATTTCTTTACAGCATTTACCATTTATGGAACAAACTACGGTATAAATAAAATTTTATTCTAAAGACAACTTTTTTGTTGTATAAGTAACAAAGAAACAGAATTTTTTTTTTACATATTTGCTCATAAAACTAAAAATGTTTGTCATGACATCAGAATTTGCATTCCCTAGTTTGAATAATCTAACTGTGTCTCTCGGTACAAGCCCTCACCACAGTTAGAATACGTCCCATATACTTGCAATGTAGCAAATCGGAGTGGATACACTCCGACACGATTTTGAAGAATATAAAAGGATTTGCACTGAAAATAACTTCCAAATAAATAAAAAAAAAATCCTTTTGGAGATTGCTTATGCATTTTATCCCAAAAAATAATCCATATAAAGACGAAAATCCAATTAATGTTCTCAACGTTTTTCTCTCGCTTCCAATTTACCTGCCATGCTTACATTCGGAACTCTCTAGATTGTCAGTAGTAAATCCACTGAGTATGATTTACTGCCCGTGTTTCTTTTGCTACATTATGAATACACGGAACGAATTCTATCGTTAAACCGGGTCCGTAGGAAAATATCATTTTAACGGTAGAATGTTCTATCTATGCATTCCCTGGATATGGGTAAATTTCTACGACTTCAGACGCCATTTTTGTTGACCTCCTTTCGTTTTACATGTATTGTTAATGTGTATGTATTAGTTTCGTTCAAATCATACAAGTTTATTTGGGCGACAATCGATTATGAAAAACGTAATCGATAATCGGAATCGAACACCCAAAAATGATCGACAATCGATCGTCGGCGACAATCGTTTCATCACTAGTATATAAACATTAATAATACAAATATACGCGAGAATAAAATTTTCGCGAGCAGACAGACTCGCGTAATTACGCGAAAATAAAGTTCTCGCAAATAAAAAGTGATTTACAGTAGGAAGGAGCAGGCGCAAGTATTCTTAAGCCTCAGTACCTGAGAGAATATAATACTCTAGTAATCTTGCTGTCTCGAGACAGGAGAAAAACATTTGATCGACTACCTTGAATCTACCTATATATATGCATGATACAATCAAGGACCTATATAGTAATACTATACCTAGTATACTATATAATCCCTATTAACCGCCCCAACCCCTATAAGCGCCCCCTTAGGTCTTTTTCAATTGTCAGGAAATAAGGGCCCCCTGTACGTGATTAAAATCAATTAGAATTGTATCAAAAAAGTGAAGGAAGTGAAAATGAAATTTGTCTATTATCCAATTTCTCAGTGGAAAATGAACAATTTAGCATAATTTGGGAGGATTATCTTCACTTTAAGTAAAGTTAGATATTATCTTAGTAGTTTCTTGTATTCATTTTTTAATTTCAAACGATTTTTTGAAGTTAAAATATGACATTAAATATCATAATGAGAATACCAAAATAACCGCCCCCTTTTTGCAATTTTCTAAGCGCCCGGGGTGGTTAATAGGGATTATACGGTATAGGTCCCTGATAAAATGTATAAACAGATAAAGATTAAACTCTTATCTTTGGTACCTAGATCTCTAAGAGAGAAAACTAAAAACATGAGGAAAAAATTACTGACTCTGTTCTGTATGCTGCCATCTTTATGTCAGTTGCAGGTGATTTCCAATTTATTGAGTGGTGTCACAAGATTTTGATATGACCAAATCGAAAATGAAACTAAAACTCTAAGATCAAGCAATACGATCATATTTGTTTCGCTTTATCGCCATTCTATGTTCATTTTACAAGTTTATTCACTTATAAAAGTTCTTACTCACAATTCACATGAAAATCATCAGAAGTTAATTGAAAATCTATAAATTTACACTTTCTGAATCACAGAAAGTTGATAGAGATGACCAAAATCTACCTATACGAACGAGTTGCTAAATGTCATACGGGCACTTTAAAAATGGATGCACCCGTGACATAAAACTCCAAAAGTTCAGTATCTAGGTTTACTTGCTTATTTCTATGATGGCAGCTATTTTGAAGCATTGGAGAGAGGCAGCAACGTTGTTGCTCGTTTCAAAATCTAGAAAAATCGTTCCTAATCTTGTTAATGGCGGCGGCATGCAGCTTGAAGGTGTGACCTCCGAGCTGTCAGAATTCAATTACAAAATCCTGATGCTAAAAAGGTCAGCTAAAAGCAAGTTCATGCCAGATGTGTATGTGTTTCCGGGGGGTATTGCAGAAGATGCCGACTTTTCGACAGAGTGGTTAGATTTATACAAGAAGTTTGGTGCATCAGAATGTCATGAGCTACTCACATCTCTGAAAGTTGCAGGGGAAGGTCCCCCGATGTTCAGTAGGCCACGAAGCCCTGAATTTGAGCAAATACCAAGTGAGTTAGCTTTCAGAATTTGTGCCATTCGTGAAACTTTTGAAGAGTCAGGGGTACTAATTGCAAGAACATTTGAAGATAAATCTGGTTTAAAAAATAATTTTCCTCAGCAACCAGTATCTGGTACAAGTTATCACCTGGATAGCGATGAATGGCGTAAACGTGTGGATAAAAACCCAGCAGAATTTATTGTGATGTGTCGGACACTTAATGTGATTCCTGATGTCTGGTCACTTTCAGAATGGTCAAATTGGCTGACCCCTACGACATTGTCAACGAATGCAAAAAAATCAGGTAGAAGATACGACACTGCTTTCTTTCTTTGTGTACTCGATCATCTTCCAAAAGCTGTGCATGATGACAAAGAGACTGTACATTTACAGGTAATTGTATAAAATGAATTAAACCTCACCTACAGCTTAAGATAAAGACAGAAGATGAAGAACATTATAATGTTAATGATTGTTTATTAAATTTGTTAACTAGAACTTAACCTGGTTTTTGTTATAGTGGGCAGCTCCTGACACTTTGCTGAGTGTTTACAACAAACATAAAGGAGGCCTAGCTCCACCCCAAGTCTATGAAGTGTGTAGGCTTCTTAACTTTCAAAACATTGAAAACCTTCAACAGTTTGCATGGGAAAGGGCAATGGAAAAACGTGTTGCACAATATTTCCCTGTTGTGGTACTATGTGAAGATGGCATAATTGTTGTCTATCCAGGTCAGTATGTGGGCATGTGTGGCACATAAATCGTGAAAAATTAAAAGCAAAATTTTTTTAATATTAAAAATGTTTAAGAAATGAATTTAATTAATAACTAACCAATTTATACTGTATAACATGGGTTGGGGAAGTTTATGCTTTATAAAATAGCGTAAAATGTTGCAACCCATGTTATAACAGTATATAACTTGGGTAGCTATTAAATTTATTCCTTCAGAGTAGGCAGTTTGACAATTTTTCCTTCAAAAATGGTTTCAAAATGAGCATCTGTTAAAAGGAACTTTAAGCTAGTGAGAACAGTAGAACTTGTTGGAAATACATTTAAAATGAATTGATTCTAACTGTGAAGTGATTTTCAATCTCTATAACTATGAAATATTTTTGTAAATTAAATTACACTTACAAGGAAACAAAATTGTAGGTCCCTGGAACTTCGTTATAAGCATGTTTAACTGTAATGCGTTTTGATGCAACTCATTCTGACAAAGGCAACTTATGTTATACAATATGTAATAAAACAATTAAAGCCATATATGGCGTAACTGATCAAAAAAATATATTTTTGAAAAATACAAAATTAAGTAAAGAAATATAGTTAATACATTTAAATTAAAACTTTTCATACAATTCTGAACACGAATAACACCTCTTTTCAATTAATAATACGATTTTATCTTCTCTGTAATGTGTTATTTAAATCTTTTGTATTTTCTTCCGAGTCGGAGAAAATTCTGAGAATCCAAATTAAATTGTGATATCTTTATAACGCAATTGACTTAGATTTTGTAATTTAGGGAAAAGTTCTATCTTTATATAAAGTAATGATACAAATAATAAGTTCTTATAATTTTAGTCTAATAATTTTCATTGTACATACGCCATATATGGCTTTAAATGACATGTTACAAGCAAATTTTAATTATACATGTATAAATACATTTCTTTGACAGACACAAAATGCAGAGAGTGTACACAGAGTTTAATTTAAGGACCTGTGTTTGAATGTAATTTAAAACAGAAAGTTTACAAGATTATCTTGGTTATCTCCATATGGTTATATCTTCAGGGATCAATTATAGACTGCATATTTGTCTTTAAACAGATAGTATATGTACAGTGTTTTCAAAAGCCTGATTCATATTCACTAGAAGCAAAAAACACCCTGCTTACCTCCCCTTTTTTTTGCAGGCGATGAGTTGTACCCCACAGACCCTGACAGAGTTGGGGAGAATCCACCAATCAGTTTACAGTGTTCTATAGCGGAGCTTCCAGATAAATACCCTGTCATGAACAGAATGCTTGTTAGTGGTCCTCACTCGGTGAACACGTCAGCTGGGGATGGCCAGGTCATCCCAGACTTTCACCATGAGACTCTGTCTGATATGGCAAGCTCAAAGCTGTGATATATACAAAGAACATGTAGGATTTAATTTTAGACATGTGTAAATGATATATATCTGTATTAAGTATGGAATGTGTGATATAATGCACAAATGATTTTGAAACGGGTTCTATAAAAATGAAATAAAATGTTAGTATTTATTGCAAAATTATATAAATTTAAAAGTACACTTAAATGAGAAAAGTATCATTAATTATACCCCACGCAACTAGTTGCGTGAGGTATAATGTTTTTGACCCGTCCGTCAGTCAGTCAGTCCTTTTTTTTTGTCAACGCAACTCCTCATAAACCGCTGCACAGAATTTTATCAAACTTTGCAGGTATTTAGGACACAATGTGTAGATGTGCATATTACCAGGAAATTCCGATTCTATTATTTTTTTCGGGAATTTCCGCACTTTTTAACTTAGGCATTTGGCCATACCTTGAATATAGAGATGAACAGTTTGTCAGTGCAACTCCTTATAAACTGCTGCACAGAATTTCGTCAGACTTTGCAGGTATTTAGGACACAATGTGTAGATGTGCATATTACCAGGAAATTCCGATTCCATTATTTTTTCGGGAATTTCCGCACTTTTTAACTTAGGCATTTGGCCATACCTTGAATATAGAGATAGTAGGCATTTGGCCATACCTTGAATATATAGATGAACTGTTTGTCAGCGCAACTCCTCATAAACCGCTGCACAGAATTTCGTCAAACTTTGCAGGTATTTAGGACACAATGTGTAGATGTGCATATTACCAGGAAATTCCGATTCCGTTATTTTTTCCGGGAATTTCCGCACTTTTTAACTTAGGCATTTGGCCATACCTTGAATATAGAGATGAACAGTTTGTCAGTGCAACTCCTCATAAACTGCTGCACAGAATTTCGTCAAACTTTGCAGGTATTTAGGACACAATGTGTAGATGTGCATATTACCAGGAAATTCCGATTCCTTTATTTTTTCCGGGAATTTCCGCACTTTTTAACTTAGGCATTTGGCCAAACCTTGAATATAGAGATGAACAGTTTGTCAGCGCAACTCCTCATAAACCGCTGCACAGAATTTCGTCAAACTTTGCAGGTATTTAGGACACAATGTGTAGATGTGCATATTACCAGGAAATTCCGATTCCATTATGTTTTTCCGGGAATTTCCGCACTTTTTAACTTAGGCATTTGGCCATACCTTGAATATAGAGATGAACAGTTTATCAGCGCAACTCCTCATAAACCGCTGCACAGAATTTCGTCGAACTTTGCAAGTATTTAGGACACAATGTGTAGATGTGCATATTACCAGGAAATTCCGATCCCATCATGTTTTCCGGGAATTTCCGCACTTTTTAACTTAGGCATTTGGCCATACCTTGAATATAGAGATGAACAGTTTGTCAGCGCAACTCCTCATAAACCGCTGCACAGAATTTCGTCAAACTTTGCAGATATTTAGGACACAATTTGTATATGTGCATGTTACCGGGAAATTCCGATTCTTTCATTTTTTCCGGGATTCAGCACTTTGAGTTTTGGGGGAGCGTGGGGTATGTGAGCTCGCTCACCTTTTCTTTCATTTGAACAGGTAATGTTTTATTAGATTTTTGACACAAAAAATGTCTATAAATCATAATGGTTTATGTAGTTTTTTTAAATAGAATTTTTTGTACTCGAAACATACTGAGGATCTTGATTCAATTTATTTAAAATTAACATATTAATTTGGAACAAGAAATATTTCAGAGACATGTGCCCCATGTGTAGCAGTTTTTAAGAGGGAACAAAAGCAAATTTATAATTTCTGCAATATTAAAAATAATTGGGCATCTCCTAGTTAAGGGTAGGTAGGTGTAATCATACCAGGTACATCAAACCTCACTATCAGAAGATGTAATATTCGTCATAAAGGGTTTTAGTGTACCTAATTTGATGTCTGGAAAGCATGGTTCTTAAGAAACTGAACTGGCAATATCTTTGTCCAAGAGTCTGTTATTTGACCCTTGATTTTGTGACCTCAAAATCAAATAGGGTCTACTACCAAAGGAGTCTGTAATGACTAATGTGCATCTCTAGGTGTAGATCATCAAAAGATTTAAATTACACAGGAATGAACTACTTTTAAAGATGAAGGCAAGATCCAGCATTATGAAGCAAGTTTGAGAAAGTGCATCCAAAAATGCATCCTCTGTGCCAGCTTTGTTAAGGTAGGGCTTACAGTGATTTGTAAATGAAAGTACTCGGAAAACTTAAGCCTTTTCTTCCATCGAAAAAATGTAGGTCAGATCCAGTATCTGCAGCAAGCCAAGGACTTGTGATACAGTGTACATGTATATATACATCCCTAGATGCATCATTAAGTTTGAGTTAGATAGCAGATACATATATGTTCGTGATCAGCTGCAGATCTGTAGCGTTATGGTTTTATATATTTGTCTTTGACCATAACGCTACAGATCCCGTAGTGCAAAAAAGGTGCAATTTACGGCGCAATATTTTTTGCGCTCTTTTGGGGAGAATTTCTCCACTTTCTAGCTTTGGTCAATCAACTACCTTTCACTCCCTAGTTCTAGACACATTCTGTAGCCAATATGTATAGTTTATCCACCTCCCAAACATTTATATAGTTGTCTCTACAGGCAATAAACTCGCTGGATATGAATTTTCAGTAATCTAACAAATAATTTTAATCAAGTGAGTTTATCACTTGTAGAGACGACTATAAAGGGTTGGGAGATGGATAAAATATACAGATTAATTAAATAATGTGTCTAGAATTAGGGTTGAAAGGTAATTGATTGAACGATGCTGGAAAGTGTAGAAATTCTCCCCAAAAGAGCGCAAAAAATATTGCGCCGTAAATTGCACCTTTTTCGCACTACGGGATCTGTAGCGTTATGGTCAAAGACAAATATATAAAACCATAACGCTACAGATCTGCAGCTAGTTCGTGATATAAGAAAAAGTTCACCAATAAAGGATGTATTCACTTTGACAAAAGAATTGACCTATAGGAAAGAATAATTTCCCGGAAAAAGTGACATTTAAAATTTGATCTTTATTTATTGTTTTCTACCGTATATATGTCTAAATTTTTCAAATTTGTATTTTACACCTAAAATTTATTATTTACAACTTTACAATAAACCTCCAAAGTTGACCGAAACATCATTTTGTCCGTTAAAGCATTGATTTTTGCATGAATTTTGGCCTAGAAGTCCTTCAGGGCAGGCCTGCCCCTAAATAAAATTGTGATATTTTGATAGGTTAGGATGTAAGGAATAATTTAAGATAGGATTTTTTTAGGGGCACCCCTGCCCTAAGGTCGAAATTCACAAAAAAACTACAAAAAATAAGGAAACCTGATTTTGATAATCTGCTTCAAATTTATACCTGTAAATATTATAGTCAGACTAGCTCAGTTGATGTATGCGCTGACTTTTACACCGTGTAAGCATACATTTTAAAGTCGGGGGTTCGAATCCACCTGGTACCACACTTTTAAAGTTCTTAATTTTCGCCTTTTCAAAGACTATTTTAATATTTTTTATAGACTTGTTTATTTTCCTTCAATTATCTATCCTTTATGCATGCCCATTCTTGATATAAGAAACACTATAAAGAGATATCAAATCGTAAAAATCCAATGTACAGTTGTCAGTCAGGCGGAACAAACCTCAGTATAAGCACACTTTCTCTGAGGACAAGAATAACACTCTGTGTTACTCAATACAGGTATTCTTGGCAGAATGTCATTTGTATATATTCCTTAGAATTTAATGACATTGATTTTGGGTACATATATCAGTGATTGTACTCCCTCGGATTTGATTTAGGCCTATATAATTTGCACACATTAATAGCATGTTTCATTATATTCATGGATAAAATAGCCTAGACATAAAGAATAGAATTTCAGAGGCAGTAAACATTACCATTATGTACAATGCAAGTAAAGAAAAATATCAATTATTACATCTGGAGATAACAAACTCAGAAATCAATGAAAGGATTCCTCCTACCTCTACTCACTGAAATAAAGATATAGGGAAAACAAATTGTTATATGTGTTCAGCCTTATGTCATTAATAGGAACGGAAATCGACAAGCTTTTTGTAGAGAAAACCAGAAGTCTCTGTCGAGACTGAAGCTCTACTGGTTTGAACTTATAGCAAAGGAAGAGAAAAGTACTTAAGCAGCTGGGATTTGAAACTTTACAACAGCAATAAATAGAATAATGATCGTTGATAAAGTCTCTTTATGTTCTTAGTGTAGTCTACTTGTGTGCCAAGTTATATTGAAATCAGACCAAAACTGTAGGAGGAGTAGCATTTTGAAACAATTTTACAGATATTTCTATTTTTAGTAACCACGGCAACACAGTTCATCGAAAGCAAAAACCGATACACAGATTTATGTATTTTAGTGTAGTCTACTTGTGTGCCAAGTTATATTGAAATCAGACCAAAACTGTAGGAGGAGTAGCATTTTGAAACAATTTTACAGATATTTCTATTTTTAGTAACCACGGCAACACCGTTCATCGAAATCAAAATCCGATACACAGATTTATGTATTTTAGTGTAGTCTACTTGTGTGCCAAGTTATATTGAAATCAGACCAAAACTGTAGGAGGAGTAGCATTTTGAAACAATTTTACAGATATTTCTATTTTTAGTAACCACGGCAACACCGTTCATCGAAATCAAAATCCGATATGCAGATTTATGTATTTTAGTGTAGTCTACTTGTGTGCCAAGTTATATTGAAATCAGACCAAAACTGTAGGAGGAGTAGCATTTTGAAACAATTTTACAGATATTTCTATTTTTAGTAACCACGGCAACACCGTTCATCGAAATCAAAAACCGATACAGATTTATGTATTTTAGTGTAGTCTACTTGTGTGCCAAGTTATACTGAAATCAGACCAAAACTGTAGGAGGAGTAGCATTTTGAAAGAATTTCACAGAAATTTCTATTTTTAGTAACCACGGCAACACCGTTCATCGAAATCAAAAACTGATACACAGAATTATGTATCTTAGTGTAGTCTACTTGTGTGCCAAGTTATACTGAAATCAGACCAAAACTGTAGGAGGAGTAGCATTTTGAAAGAATTTCACAGAAATTTCTATTTTTAGTAACCACGGCAACACCGTTCATCGAAATCAAAAACCGATACACAGATTTATGTATCTTAGTGTATTCTACTTGTGTGCCAAGATATACTGAAATCAGACCAAAACTGTAGGAGGAGTAGCATTTTGAAAGAATTTCACAGAAATTTCTATTTT